TATATATATATATATATATATATATATATATATATATATATATATTTATATATATATATATATTTATATACAGAATGTACACTTTACACATATACATTTTTCCCAATATTTACAGTCTGAAAAAAAGATACATTAAAATAATCATTATTTTTTCTTCAGAGCTCTGTCTATATATTACTTTGATTATTATATTTTTTGATTATTATTATATTTATATTTTATATTTTATTGAATAGCCTTAGAGCCTTTGAAAGGTGAGTGTACTGGCGTATAAGTTAATCATCTGTTTTAATAACTATCACATACATTAAACAAGGTTACTAAAACGGTGTGAATATAGAGATAAATCAATTAAACACACACACAGACCTCCACAGTGTGTGTGTTGTGTTGACCTGAGCGCGTTAGCATTAGCAGCTACAGGTCGCGACAAGGACAAAACTGCTGAAAAACATCAACACATAACACTAATGAAACAGCACGGTGTTTGACGGAGCAGTGCGGAGTTTTACCGTGTACTTACCATGTTTTCGCGATGGACGCGTATTTGTTTCCGATTATTTTGCTCAACATTCTCGGATGAACGTGAAGAGCAGCAGCACAGGAACAAACCAGCAGGAAACTGCGGATGATGTGTCAACACAACCGGAAGTTCTGCAGGTACAAATTAATAGTCCCTAAAGTAAAAGTGCGTTAGATTCATTATTTACAGAGGATTTCGGAATAAAATCTTTTAGCACAATGTTTTGTTATTTAATCTTAAATTTAATAGTAAATTTATGCATCCAAAAAGTTATAGTGTTAAAAAAGTCGAATAATTGATGTCCAGCAGGAGGCGCTCTAAACCTGAGCACGATTATCTGTGGAATAAAATCTCTTTATCGTCTGACTGCGCACGGTTACATCTGGATATTTTAAGATTGGTGTGGATTCTGTTAATAGTAATACATGTTCAATAAGCTCCTGAATTTTGATGCACTTTAATATGTCATGTTTTCTCTGATTCTTTAGTTATAATCTGTATAAACAGGCAGCATTACCCCTGTTAAATGAATTTTTTTTTTCTTTGGAATTGACATTTAGTACATATTAATAAGGTCTTTTAAGATCTATTTTTCTAATCTACTGAACTCGTATCTACAATATTTCAGATATTATAATTATGAGAATTTGTTTACAGAAAAATAGTATTATACTGTACATATACTCACCGGCCACTTTATTAGGTACACCTTACTAGTGCCGGGTTGTACCCCATTTTACCTTCAGAACTGCCGTAATCCTTGGTGGCATAGATTTAACAAGGTACTGGAAATATTCCTCAGAGATTTTGCTCCATATTGACATGATAGCATCACACAGTTGCTGCAGATTTGTCAGCTGCAGATCCATGATGCCAATCTCCCGTTCCACCACATCCCAAAGCTGCTCTATTGGATTGAGATCTGGTGACTGTGGAGGCCATTTGAGTACAGTGAACTCATCGTCATGTTCAAGAAACCAGTCTGAGATGATTGAGCTTTATGACATGCTGCGTTATCCTGCTGGAAGTAGCCATCAGAAGATGGAGACACTGTGCTCATAAAGGGATGGACATGGTCAGCAGCAATACTCAGGTAGGCTGTGGTGTTGATGCTCAATTGGTACTAATGGACCCAAAGAAAATCTCCCCCACACCATTACACCACCACCACCAGCCTGAACGAGGATGGACCCATGCTTTCATGTTGTTGAGGCCAAATTCTGCCCCGAGCATCTGAATGTGTCAGCAGAAATGGAGACTCATCAGAGCAGCAACGTTTCTCCAATCTTCTATTGTCCAGTTTTGGTGAGTCTGTGTGAATTGTAGCCTCAGTTTCCTGTTCTTAGCTGACAGGAGCGGCACCCGGTGTGCTCTTCTGCTGCTGTAGCCCATCCGCCTCAAGGTTGGAAGTGTAGTGTGTTCAGAGATGCTCTTCTGCAGAGCTCGGTTGTATCGAGTGCTTATTTGAGTTACTGTTGCCTTTCTATCAGCTGGAACCAGTCTGGCCATTCTCCTCTGACCTCTGGCATCAACAAGGCATTTGCGTCCACAGAACTGCCGCTCACTGGATATTTCCTCTTTGTCGGAGCATTCTCTGTAAACCCTAGAGAGGATCATGCGTGAAAATCCCAGTAGATCTGCAGTTTCTGAAATACTCAGAGCAGCTCGTCTGGCACCAACAACCATGCCACGTTCAAAGTCACTTAAATCCCCTTTCCTCCCCATTCTGATGCTCGCTTTGAACTGCAGCAGATCGTCTTGACCATGTCTACATGCCTAGTTGCCTTGTGATTGGCTGAGTAGAAATTTTCATTAACGAGCAGTTGAACGGGTGTACCTAATAAAGTGGCCAGTTAGTGTGTGTGTGTACAGATTGTAATTTAACAATTATAATAAAATCAATATAACTTTTATTATATTCTTTCAGTACATAATGTTAAATTACATAATTCATTAACCTCGATGTTTTAGTTTCACATCGAATAATTTTTATACAAATACAATAAAAACATTTCTTTGCCAGCGAGCCTAAATATTTTAACATTAAATTTGAGATAACAAAATAGTTTTGGTATTACAGTTTTACACAAATCACCTGCCAAATTGATCATTTTAATGTTTATCTGTACACTACCTGACAAAAGTCATGTCGTCTATCCAAGTTTAATATACAGCGCATAATATCTTGTCTTCTAGTTGATCATTTGGTATCAGAAGTGTCTTATATGAAAGGTAAAGGCCTCTAGATTTTGCTTATTTGAGCACAATAAAATATGATCATGCCTTGATTATTAATGATTTGATTAGGACAGTAAGGTCTGACTCTGCTTAGACAAAAGTCTCATCACTGAACAGAAATAATGTCCAGTATAGAATATAAAGTCCTGCTGCAGTGGAGACAGAATGAATATTGTGTCTGACTCCATCATGAGCTTGGAGGACTGCATCCATACATCTCTGACATGACTCACATCACTGATTAATAAAGTCATCTGGAATGAAGAAGAAAGCCTTCAGCAGGACTCCCAGAGTTCATCAAGAGTCTTTGTGTATCTTCAATGCCTCCTTCTTCATGCTCAATAAAGTTCATATCTGGTGACTGGGCTGGCCAATCCTGGAGCAGCTTGACCTTCTTTGCTTTCAGGAGCTTTGATGTGGAGGCTGAAGTATGAGCAGGAGCGCTATCCTGCTGGAGAATTGTCCCTCTCCTGTGGTTTGTAATGTAATGGGCAGCACAAATGTCTTGATTCCTCAGGCTGTTGATGTTGATCATCCACTCTGCAGATCTCTCCATACTGAATGTAACCCCAAACCATGATTTCTCTAATACCAAACTTGACTAATTTCTCAGTCTTGGCTCCATGCGGGTTCCAGTAGGTCTTCTGCAGTATCTGTGATGATTGGGATGCATAAACATGGAATAGTTGGTGGTTCATTCAACTGTGGTGACCCCTGATGAATAAAGAGACTAGGCTGAAGGAAATAGAGTTTACGGATAGAAAGTTTGATTATCATTCAATCGCATAAAAACAAGACGCACGGAAATAATGACACACACGCGTCCGTGATTACAAAGAAAGTACTTTATTTGCTCTGAGGAGCAAAGAATTCACGTAACATACATCTGGAATTCTCACGTCCCTCTCGATGTGAATTTTATAAAATATTCTCAAGTCGGAGCCACAAGACGTGACGTCAGAATAAAAACCTGAAACTGAGTCCAGACGAGCGCGATCAGGCACTGGAACAAACTCACTCCCGCAGCCGAGAATGAGGAAGGCATCTCTCCTCCAGAGCTCACACAAACACGAGGTTAGTACTAACAAACACAAAATCATCAGCGAGAATAACGGGAGAGCTCACACGAAAAATAAAAATACTGTCATTAATTAATCATCGTCATGTCCTCCAAACCTATGAGAACATCACTGCGCAAATTAAGATGAAATCCGAGAGCTCTCTTACTAGCTCTACTTGTTTACTCATGTGATGTGTAATGGTTTTCATTAGGGTCTATGTTGAAGGACTCTTAATTTACAGTAACCTAGCACTTCCGATAACTGTTTAACATTATAAAGTCACCATGTGTATGGTCTGTTTTCTTTAAAGATCAATGATGTTGACTCTATGGTGGATATAGATTATACAGAGGGTCTTAAAATGTACATGCACTGCATTAAATGGCATTGTTCTGCTTCACGTCTTTAAGACATGAACATTTATTTTCCCCCAGTATGGAGTTTCCGCGCTCGTCTGCTGATCCTCGAGTGTAAACGGCAATCTCGTTTTATGCTTGAACAACTTAATAATTGCTTGAATTTATTTAACTGATTATATTTTAATTACATCACAACATTAATGCTGTTATTTGAGGAAAACAGTCACGTTGACCATTCGTCGGATGTTTGTTGGCAGGGGGAAATGACACTAGCTGTTATTCGAACTTGAAATTCAGATGTGCCACACTTAATTGAGGTACAGTTGGTTTAATATTCGCACATTTGTTCATTTTTTTGACGTGAAACGCTCCCTATTTTATTTACCACGCTACTTTTTTCATTATCTTTTCAGGGTTTTCACCTTTAATGTATAGGATCGTACAGATTATTGACAGGAAAGCATGCAGAGCAGAGAGAGGGGAAGGATCGGCATAGGACCGAAAGGCGGGAATCGAACTCTGGTCACCGTGAGCACCATAGTGTCGACGCACTAACTACTACACCACTGGCGCCGATGTTTACCATGCTACTCTGATTAGACTATTTCAATGAGGTGATGTCAGTGGCCCATACATATGTCCTGCTTGTTGTCAAACTACTTAATAACTTTAACATGAGGCAATTCAATCATAACCTCTCGTTAAAGCACCTGCCATAGGAATACTTATTAATATTTGGATTTTTTTTGAGACACTGCTCGCTGCAGAGCTACCTGGGCTCCAATGAGGGGGAGCTTGAGCTCCAACTCCTCTTCCAATAAGCGTTTTAATGCTTACATCCACCCCAAACCCCAACAACCCTCAGTGACATCAATCGTAGAAGAAGTGCAAGGAAGGAGGAGCTGGAGCTCAGCTCTGCCTAAGCCGCTCTGCAGTGAGCACCACTTGCTTTTTTTGGATGCTATAAAAATTAAAAATGCAATACAGGAAATTTGTTAGGACCATTGTTATTGTTTATATGCATTAAAACGGTCTATCTTGGGTCTGAAATCGTATGACTTCAAAACAACATTGATACTATTTAATACCGACTGTGAGCAATGCTGATGGTCATTGGGTGATAGTATGATTTCAGAATTTGCAAGTATACTTTTCTGAAATTATAGTGAGGAGGAAGTCCGAATGTGAGAATATAACCAACTTCAGTCCAATCTCCATCCGCCATGTTGTTATTATCACATGAGCATCGCTTCACACCCATTGGTAAACCCTAGTTTACTTAAAGGATGTGTAATGTTTTTAATTATTTGAACTTAGACAGTATTGAGGCCAATTTCGCAAGCTTGCGCCAAATAATGTTACGCACTACGAGTGATTATTAGGCTCCATTTGCATTGACTTTGTATGTAATTGACTTAAACTAAAGACGCAACTAATGCAAATTCTGCA